GAATGATCTTCCTAAAATGATAGGAATTTATTTATCTTCCTTCATATCTAATACAATAAAGTCCACAGGAAAGATAAACTTATTGACTTTTACCAAAAAATCTTCTATAACTCCTTTAGGATAGGTAGTCGAACGATGAACTAACTGCAGAGTTACAGTTGTAGGTGAAATATTTCTTAAGCCCAATCTTCTGAAAATTGATAATAACATAAGATTAATACTAGCTCCTAGATCACATAAAGTTTTTCCATAAAATTGTCTGCCAATAGCACAAGGAATTGTAAAACTTTCAGGGTCTTTAAGTTTTTCAGGAAGCTTTTCTTGAACTATAGCGCTACACTCTTCGCTGAGTGCAACAATCTCATCATCTACAAAATTCCTTTTCTTATTAAGTATATCATTCATGAACTTCACATAGCTTGACATTTGTTCCAAATTCTCAACAAATGAAATGTTTATCGTTAATTTCCTCAAAATTTTCAAAAATTTAAAAAATTCATTATCATTATTTTTCTGCTTTAATCTTTAAGGAAAAGGAGGTGGTGGTCTTTCTACAGTGATTTTCATTGGCCTAATAGGATTTTCTGCTTCAAAATAAAAATCTTCATCAGATTTTTCATTTTCCACCTCAGCTTTTCAACTTCAACTTCTTGCTGAACTTTGTTTTCTAATTCTTTTCTACTTCTCAGTTGAATAGCTTTAATTTGCTCTTTGTTCTGATCTTTAGGATTTACTTCAACATTATTAGGCAATGTTCCTGGAGGTCTATTGCTAAGTGCTGTAGCAATACATCCCAATTGATTTTTCGTATTTCTGGTAGCAGCTTCTTGACTTTGTAATTGATTACCATCTAAAATATCAATTCTTCCATTGATAACTTTTCTCCTTACTCTGCAAATTATTAAAACCTAGGGGGTAATAAGGTTTATAAGCTTGGTTCCCTTGATTGTTGGAGTTGCCCAATGAGTTCATAGTGTTTTTTCCCCATTGTAGATTTGTAGCATTAGAATTATTGTTATTCCAACTAAAATTTGGATGATTCTTCCTACCAGGATTATAATAATTGGCATAAGGATTATTAGAACGATTGTGTATTGCATTTAAAGTCTCATAAGAAGATTGAGATTCTATCATTTGTCCGAATGAGTTTTCCTCAAGCACATGTGCTGTCTGAGAATAATTCTTTCCATATTGGTCCATCTTCTTTGATATGACAGCTATTTGGGTAGCTAAAATAGATCTTGCATCATAATCATGTATACCATCTACTCTTTTGGATTTACCCTTTCAAAGATCCATTGAAAATTATTAGTAGCCATCTCTTCCATTAATGAATATGCTTCATCGAATTGTTTTAACATTAATGATCCACCAGTAGTAGCGTTAATTATATATCTAAGAGATCCAACGAACAAATTATAAAAAGTTTGAATTATTAACCAATCTGGCAATGCATGGTGTGAACACTTTCTAAGGTGATCTTTAAATCTTTCCCGGGCTTCAAAAAATGATTCCCCTCAAACTAACAAAAAGATGTGATATCATTTCTAAGCTTAGCAAGTTTTTAAAGGTGAGAAATATTTAGATAAGAATTTTTGTGATAAATCTCCCCATCTTCTCATAGATCCAGGTGCTAATGAGTTTAACCACATCTTAGCTTTATCCCTTAGTGAAAAAGGAAAAAGTCTAAGTCCGACGACATCATTTGACACTCCCTCATATTTAAATGTAGCACATAATTCTAAAAAAAACTAGCAAGATGTAAATTAGGTTCTTCAGTAGGTGTTCCTCCAAACTGATTGTTTTTGTACCATTTAGATAATAACAGGTTTAAGTTCGAATGAATTGACAACTACAACAGGATTTTGTATACTCAAATGAATTTCGTCTGCTGTAGGATTTACATAATCTCTTAAAGGTCTCTGATGATGTTCATTTTCATTTCTAACATTGTTTAAATTACGAGCCATTTTGTTAAACTGTTCTTTCTCTTTTTGTTGTTTTCGAGTTTTTCAAACAATTCTTTCTAACTCAGAATCGTAAGGTAATAAAGTTTCAGATCTTACACTACACATAAACTGAATAAAACAAGTAATTAAAAATAAGCAAACACACTAAAATAAGAAAATGTTCAAATTAAACTACAAACACACTTTTTTTAGAGTTTTAAAATAAAATAATATAAAATAAAATACTAATATATTCTGTTACTTCGTCGGCAACGACGTCAAAAGCTTGACACGAGAGATTTGTATTTGCAAATATTTATGAAGTTGACATCACTTAACGACGCCAAAAACTTGATGTAGACAAATTTATAATAAATATGCAATATAATCCTAACAAAACACTTTTTATAAATATAATTCTTCTTTTAAAACTCTTTTTTAAACTCTCAGATCTCTCCTAAATATCAACGCGAGTATAAGTATCGTGCAAGTAATAAAGGGCTCTTATGGAGTCCTAGATGTCGATCCTACAGGGAAGTTGAAAAATCCTAAATTAAATTTTGAAAAATATTTTATAATAAAAATTAAAAATAAAAGTAAAGTGCAAAATTTGAAATAACTACAAACACACTTTTTTTAGAGTTTTAAAATAAAATAATATAAAATAAAATACTAGTGATTGCGAAAATTGCGAAAATTAAATAAAGTTTTTGTTGTGATGGAAAGTTCAAATTTAAGAAAGCATCATTCATCTTTACAGTGAGTATATGGTTCGTGAAGAAATTGAAATCATTTGAAAATATCTATAAAAACTATTTTGTGTTAAATATGAGCAATCGTAATCTTTAACCTTTTCCGAGTGCTATAAAAAACATTGACTAATTCAGAGTTTGATCTCTAATGCCGTGGTTAGGCTGGAAGGATACTAGCTGGCACTCTAGAGCTCCCATTACTCCCTCTCCTAAGGGCTAACAATATCACATTAGTTTCTAATCAACTGAACCAAATTAGGGGTTTTAATCTGTCACATTAAAATCTCATATTCTGCATCCAACAAATCTATTTATTTGAGCCCAATCTCATGGATGACATACTCTCCCATGAAATCAAATGTAATTCTCCCCATTTTGTAGAAATCATATCTCATTTAAGAATATATGTTTCACAACAAGTTTTAACATTTCAATTGGCTAGATAAAAAAGTAAATGAAGATCAGAGTTTAAATCATCACAAATTTTTAACATTTAAAACCGTAGAAAACAAAATATATTCTTCACAAAACCGTATCTTCAAACTAAGCAGAAGAATAGAGAAGACTACTCAGAATTCATGAGAAGGAAACGACAAAACACAGATTTTATATAGAAAAACAAGTTTACAAAATAAAAGAAATAAAAATACAACTTATCTCACAATCCTTCCCAAGCAAATCCCTAGAAGTTCCCTCCAAGCCTTTCTCTCTTTACAATCTCTCCTAATTCTCTCTTAAAAATGTAATGACGAAGAAATCTCTCACCTTCCCTCTTCTCTTATAACCCTAGAAGAAAATCTTTTCTCTCTCTCTCTAACTAACGCTATTTTCTTTCTCTCTCTATCTCTCTCACGTCACACACACACCAATGAGAAGACTTCTTTTTTTATTTTGGGTTGTCCTTTTTGAAAAAGAATTCAAAGTTCTCTTTAAAAGTCAACTCTTTTGAATTCAAAAGGTGTATCATTTGATCTAAGAGTTGTATCATTTGATCTAAGAGTGTTTGATCTAAGAGTGATATCCATTCATAAAAGAACCTTCCAAAGTGTCTAGATACATTGAATTACTCCAAGAGGTGTGTAGAACAAGTGTCTTTTTGAAATTCATGCAAAAAATCATCTCGAACTTCCTTAATTTAAAAAGTTGCTCCTGGCGCAGTATGCACCAACTCTCTGGATTTTGGCGCAACATGCGCTAATCTGGCACATGATGCAAATCCAAAATTGACTCTTTTTGCTCCAAATTTAGTCTTTTTTGTCATTTTTGCTCCAAATGTCTAAAAATGATATACTACAACAAAAACATAAAAATACCTTTCTATAAAGTACAATATCACCAAAAATAAACATAAAATAGGTACTTAGAATAGTATATTATTTTGGTGTATCAATAGCTTGTAATATACTACAACTTGCACATGACTATGTGAAATTTGCATTGTGTTCTATAATAGCATATTTAACCACTAAAAAATACAAATTTATTTTTTTCATTGAGATTTCACTATTTGTAATATATTGAAAATCATCAATTAAACCCACTAATAGTGTGCTAAAAGCATTCAATTAATATCATAACGTAGGATTGATATTTGAACTAATTAATTATTGAAAGAATAAGATCCCCCCTCTCTAAAATATACTTACTTTTGAATATATACCTCCTAAAGTTTTTTGCTGCTATTAAGATTGCGAATGGACTCTAGCGGAGAGAAAGGTCAAATCCACGTGAAACAAGAAATAATTTAACAAATTTATGCAAGATCGATGCAAAGAGTCGCTGGTCCCTATCATTTCTCTTGGTTCTAAAATTTTACTTAGATGATTTCTTCTATTTTATAACTAAATGTTGCACTCTCTTTTGAGGATTATCGAGTTATTAATAAAATTTTGATTGAATTAAGTCCTCAGTAATGTCTGAAACTTGTATAGTTTAGAAAAGATAAAAAAGGCAAAATTTACATACGAACAACAAAATTCTTATGAATTTACGTTTTTAACACATTGGTGCTATAAATGTATGAATAAAAAGGTGCATTTGTCTTTTAACAGTTTGTAAAGTGGTAATTTTGATATGATGTTATGGATATGAGTGTTATGAATGTAAATATAAAAGATAAGGTGTTAGATATGTAAATACACTACATATACCTCAATCCTTATGTAATTACATGTCTAACACCTAAATTTTACCTTTTACATTAATACCAACCAAATCTTTCATGTCACATAAAAAAGACCACCATTAATTTTAAAACGTGAAATACACCCATTCATGCATGGTTAAGGTGTTATGTATGTAAAGATTGAACTTTAGATGTAAAATATGTAAATACCTAGGAATTAAGTGGTATGTATGTAAATCTTCCGAGAAAGAAATACAATCCATACCCGATGCTTCCAAACAAAATCACCCTTAATCCTCTTCCTTCACATCAAAAAGCTCATCATTCAGACCAAAATCAATCATGAAATCTCCTGCTAATCTGATCAATCATCTCATAAATCTCTTTTTTCTGAGGATGCGATTGATCTCCATTGACAAACTCCTCAACAACCCCATCAATCTCAACACCACTTAAACCAGCTCTTTTCCCCAAACCTCTCTCCCTCATCTTTTTCCTCATCTGAACTGCACCATCCCATTTTCCAAAATTTGCATAAATATTTGATAGCAACACATAATTTTCTCCATTATTAGGCTCCAATTCCATTAACATATTCATCACTTTCTCATCAATCTTCAACCTGTGATGAATTCTGAAAGCTCCCAACAAAGCTCTCAGTAGCATTCCATTAGGCTCCATAGGCATTCTCCCCATGACTTTGTCGGCCTCCTTGAGCTCTCCCGCTCGACCGAGAATACCAACTAGGCAGCCATAGTGCTCTAACTTCGGCGAAATTCCAAATTCCGCTTCCATTCGATCGAAAAACCGGCAGCCATCATCAACTAGTCCGGCGTGCGAGCAGGCAGACATGGCCATTAGAAAGGTTACCTCATCCGGTTGAATTCCCTCTCTTATGATCTCGTTAAACAGAGCTAGAGCACCATGGCCGTCTCCGTGAGTGGCAAGGCCTCTCATCATGGCATTGTAGCAGAAAGTGTCCTTTTGAGGCAATCGGGCAAACACCTGGTGGGCAAAATCCAGGCGGCCGCAGTTGGAGTACATGTCAATCAGAGCGGCCCCTAAGAAGTGATTGCAGACTAGGAGGCGACGGCTGCTGCTGCTTCTGTTAATATAGGCGTGCGCCCAGATCCCATGGGTGAGGGCGCTGAGGTCGCCGCAGGCCACAATTAGAGAGAGAAGCGTGATCTCGTTAGGGAGAGAAGATGAAAGCTGGAAGCTTGGGAAGAGAGAGAGGACTTCCTTCGCGGCGGAGCAGGTGAGAATGGCGTTCCAGGCGGGAAGGTCGGGGTTTGGAATCTGATCGAAGAGATGGCGGCAGGCGTGGTGGCGGCCGCGGCGGGAGTGGAGGAAGACGAGTGAGGTGAGGACGACCGGATCGAGGGGAAAAGAAAGTGTTTTTAAGAGATGGGCGTGCAGAGCGAGGCCCGAGGGGAGGAGCAGAGACGAATTGGAGCAGGCTTTGAGGAGGGAAGGGTAAGTGTGGGAATTGGGGGCGGTGCTGATGGTGGAGAAGAGAGAGAGAGCGAGGAAGTGGTGGCCAGAGGTGGCGAGGGAAGATATGAGAGTGTTGGAGAGGAAAGTGGAAGGAGGGCGAGGGGAGTGGAGGAGGAGGGAAATGGAGTAGGAGAGGTCGCCGCCGAGGGAGGAGGAGACAGGAGGGAGAGAGGAGAGGAGCAGGAGGCGACTGAAAGGGTGAGAGTGGACGGCGAGGCCGGTGGTGAGGAATAAGGCGTGGATTTGTTTGAAGCGGAGAGGTGTTCTTGTGGGGGTTTTGTCGATGTGGAAGAGGAGGAGTTGGTGCCAATCTATGGCTTCTTTGATCATCAGATTTACATCTGAAGGAGAAACTGTTCTTCGGAATTTTGGTAATTTCATTATTTGGATGAGTTGAAGCACATCTGAAGGAGAAACTGTTCTTCGGAATTTTGGTTATTTCATTATTTGGATGAGTTGAAGCGTCTGAATTGCTGTTGAAATTTTTATTAAATTGAAATATAAGATGGATATAAATAAAATACAAAATGTTATTTTATTTTCTTAGAATATTTAAATGGCTGTATATTTTGAATATTCGGTTTTATTTTTTATTTTATATTCCTTTTAGAAATTCTTACTTTTTTTCTTTCGTTTTGGGCAGTAAAAATATTAATTTAACTTCTGATATTCACGAGTTCATATTGTGCTTTCTTGGCTTCAAGTTTTGAGTATTTATATAACTAATAGGATTTAAGTTTAGGCATTCTTAATATTTAATTTGAGTTCATTTATCAATTTGTTATTTTTTTGCACTTTTGATATTGTGAACAAATAAATAATTCTTGCGATATAAGCCTAGTATTTTGTTATCCTTAATTTGTAAAATAGCTTTTTAAAATTCATAAAATGAGTATAAATGTAATAACAATGCTGCAAATGTACAGTGAATTGAGCATAGTAGAATATTTCACACTACATATATATTTGATGTAAAAATTGACCTCTTTGAATACCGGCAGATAGCACTATATTTATTTTAAAAATAAATGATATTATAAAGATAAGTCTCGATAGCTTGAGATATGATGTGAATGTAGTTTCTCAGTTTAATTTATCAGTGATGAATGTTATTATTTTGTGTAAAAAAATGATGAAGTATGTGAAATTTATACTAAAAAAAGTGATATATAAGGGTGAATTTTATGTGGAAGTGCAAAGAGGATATTCTGAAGGCATAAAAGTCATGTCTGAGGTTATATAAGGAGGTGAAAAAATGTTCTTGATTTTGTGGAGAATAATGAGGAGTGTAGGATTTGAATGGGAGGTTTCATCTTGGTTAAGGTTTTGAAGTGCAAGGTGTGTTTAAGGTTGAGAGTGGTCATATATTACCATACATGCAGTTGTGAGGTCTAGTATTCGGGGATGAAAATGATGTGATAGAAATGTTGAAGATGTTGATTTAACCTATATGAAAAATATCAATGGATAAGATTTAATTCTCACAAAAAGGTAAGTCAGTCAACCGCGAAGCCAAATCACGAGTATAAATGTCTAAAACAATTTTATGCTTCATTCAACTAAACATTCCCTTCAAATAATGTCTAAAATATAAAATTACATTATTTCTAATAGTTTTGAACTAAAAGTTCAAACTATTAGTAATGAAAGTTCCTTAAAACATTGAGGTGACTTATAGTTGTGGGCGAGATGGTTGGTTAGTTGCTCGCTTAAATGAGGAATGGATAAACATGTTCTTTAATTGATAAATAAATGCTTTGGGATGCTTCATTGAAGTTTGATAGACAAGGTTTGTAAGTTATAGTGTCTTAAAAATGATGTGCGAATGAGCTAAGTTTTCATATTGTTCAATCCTTCCAATGCCATGTCATATTAATATTTGTTTGCCTTCCATGGTAACTTTAGCCATCCTACTGGTGCCATTATCTTAAAAAATATGCACAAACTGGAGTTGCTCTATGGATTGTCTAGCAAGAGGAATTAAGCCTTAAGAATTATAGTCTTGCCAGTTAGTTAGGGGAGAGGGGGAGAATGACAAATCATTCACAAATATGAAAGATTTTCTAGTGGTTGATTCACTACTAACCTACAATGCCATCTTTGGATTGGTCTTTCTTAACAACTTTAAGGCTGTTATTTCAACCTACCATGTGGTGGTAAAATTTCCATGCGATTGAGAGGTCATCGGCGTCTAGGAAAACTACAAATAGTCTTGAAATTGCTACTTTTAGGTGGTTGGAAGTGCAAAACAGGAGCCACTTGATCTCGACTTTCTGTATAGATGTAAAATGCGATGTATGTGATTATATGCTTAATTTTCTTAATATTAATTTTTAATATGCAACAAAGTCAAAACCATGATTCAAAGAAAAAAATAAGTAAGTTTTTCACTATGAAACAAATAAGAATACAATTATAATATTTAAATATGGGATACTAAGCAAGTATATCTATCATTATCAAGTAATATAGGACTTTTTGATTAAGCCCTGAATAATTAAGCCCTGAATATTGAGCCCTGAATATTGAACCCACAGAGAGATTAACAATATGCACTTTAAAATAAACTAGAAAGTCTAGATCACAAAAATCTACTTTGCAAAATATTCTTACTTAACTTAAGAGGATATAATATAAATGAAAATTTTAATTTTTTTTGTTATTTTTGATTTATAAAAATAAAGTAAGCAACTAATTAACTTAACTAAATATTTGCAAGATGAAGGCTATATAAATAAAATATCTTTTTCCTTATCATGAATCAGTAATAAGCATAAAAATTCTGTTGTGAAAGTATGTTAATTGTGTTGTGCCAAATAGGAGCAAATAATATTCCTTACCCATACCCATACTAGAGATGCTATAAATAACATTGGCTAATCTATAATTTGAATAGTCTTAAAGACCGGTTAGGTAGGGAAGAGACTAGCTCTCCTTCTAGAGTTCCCTATTCTCCCTCCACCTGAGGGCTAATGTCTCGTATCAAAACCTAAAACTATAAATCAAATTGGGGGTAAAGTCCTCGAATTCTACACCTTTTAAAATTTTATTTTCCTATTTATTTGCACTCAACCCCATGAACTACATTCTCATTCATGAAATCATTATGTGATTCTAACCATTTGTTAACTGAGACAATACCATCTCAGATCTTATATGTTCTCACAACAGATATTAACATCTTAATTGGCTAAATTAAGAAGTAAATGAAGTGCAAGGTTTAATTCATCACAACTTATTCCAACATTGAAGTCTAACAATTCACAAAACATCCTTTAAACACTTAATCGCTTATCATTTTAAGAAAAAAGATAAAGAAAACTACTCAGAATCCAGATAAAGAAAACTACTCAGAAAAGATAAAGAAAACTACTCAGAATTCATAGAGAAAACCCAACCACACTTGAGTTTAAATGTAGAAATCATGCACACAAACAAAAAACCTAGATTAAAACCAAGTGTAGTCTCAAAGATAAACACTTATCTCAAATCCTCTCCACCAAATGTCTTAAGTTCCTTTGAATTCTCTCCCTTCACTCACATTACAAAATAATACTCAAATTAAAAAGAAAGTGGCCCGCGACGGCCACGATGAACGATGGCTATAAAATCTGATGGGTGGTTGGCCTCTTGTCTTAATGATACAAGTATTCTTTAATGAAAATCCAAAAGGTTCCTTGGTATCCCTTCAAAATGTAACTCCATTTAACGAATCTACTAGAAGTCGCCTCCTCAAAAGCCAATTGATTGAATTTTTGTGTCCATGAGATATTTCCCACATTTTTATCAAGGGTCACTTCAAACACCTCTTCAAAAATTCTTCTAATTCAATGAATCATCAAATAACTACTTATGGCACTTAAGCGCAGGGTACTTGACGCTTAGGCGTGGCTCTCTGGTGCTTATGCGTCAGTCTTGGGTGATTATGCCCCCCATTTCATTTTTGCACCTTTCTTCATTTTTGCTAAAAAATTGACCCCTTTTCACTCCTTTTAGCATTTCTCATCCATTTGATTGTGCCTGAAAGAAAAACACACACATACTTTTTATTAAAGAACAATATCTAAAAAATAGGTACAAAAATGTGTATAAGAATATTATATATTTTAGGTGTATCGAAATCTCCCAAACTTAAGATGTTACTTGCCCTCAAGTGACCCTTCAATCTTTAAAAACCAATATAAGTAGATTATGTTTATGACTTTCTTTAGAAGTTACTAAAATTTTGATGTAGACATATAGTAGTCCAATTTTGAAAAAAAATATTAGTAAATGAGACCAACTAGGAGTTTAAAAAATTTTAAAGTTAAGAAATATGAAAATATGAGTTGGTATCTAATTCAAAAATATTGTAGATTTTCCAAAAGTAGAGTTTAGTTATTTTATATTCTCCACTTAAAAATTTTTATTAAGCATAATTTTACTTAGGAATAGTTGCAGACCATATGGTGGATATCTTGGGTACTGAGAAAATACAACATCTTGGTTACCTCTCTTTAGATTCTCCATAGCTAAGTGGTACTCCTCCTCATAATCACTACGTTTCTTCATATATCCATCCATATGCTCAGGAAAATGTTTTAAGTTTAATACCTTATCTGCAGTGTAGTTGACATTGTCCAAAATCTTCTATAATAACTGTGATTGAGAATCAAATCCATAAGTCCAACCTTGTGATGTAGAAGCATGTGAAGTAGAAGCTCGTGACGTCAAAGCAGCAGAACTACTAGAGAATCCATTCCTCCAACCAAAAATAGAATGAGGTAAATAATATTTCACATTCACACTGGTAATGGGCTTTAGTGGCTGTAAGTTCTCCTCTCACCTATCAATGCTAACTCCAACCTGCTCGCATAAAGAAAAGATCAAGGATGCGTATCTCAAACCTGCAGTAGTAGCATCAACGGTAGAACTGGTAATAATTCCATGAATCAAAGCTCCAATATTAATAGGCTTGAAATGCAGAATGCAATAGTTCAAAGTTGTTGGTCTCGAGTCACTTCACTTAAATGATTTGTAGGTAGCAGACGAGTAGAGATAAAATAATGTCATGCCTTTGCAAAGGCATCCAACTTTGAACTAGAAAAGTTTACTCTTCTTTCATTTAATATCTTCCAAAGACATCTTCCATCAGTCAAAGATGAAATAATCTCATCCAACTCCTCTTCTGTAGGACTATAGTTTGAATAAAAACACAAAGTAATCAGGGAAATTGATAAAACTGATTAATTACCTCAAGGGAAAAAGACAATGTCTTCCCCTTCACCATGACTCCTTCATCAGCTTCAAGGAGATTTGCATAGAACTCTCGCACAATAGAAATCACTGCGACAGTAGAAAAAAAACATAACCACTCCCACTGGCGGCGAATAATCAAATCT